CCCCCCCCCCTGGGCCCCGGCGGTTTTTTTGGGCCCCTCCCAGCCACACCCACAGACTCAGGGGACACACCTGGGGACCATTTCAAGGCAGGAGCCACCACATAGAGAGCGCCCTAGTGAAACGGCGTTGAGCTCCCTAAGGATTCCGAGATGCGCTCAGTCCCCTCTGACTGAAGGCTCATCCTTCAGACCAGGTCCCTGAGAAAGATCTGAAGTCCCCACGGCCCCTAGAGGAACAGGGGAGCTGTGCTGACAACTGAGGCCAACTAGGGGACAGACTCGCTTAAGAACCAAAACTCAGTGGAGGTGCTGGAATAAGATGTGCCCGCTATGGGAAAATCCAGGCAGGTGGGCCGTCCTCACTTCTCAGCGTTTCTTTCTAGTAACTCCCTCCACATCTCATCTAAGGTGTGAGGCCCTCAGCCACATTCGGCTGGAGATCTTGTGCTAACCAAGAAGTGTTAGCGGGAGGTACCGGAAACGGCCCTCCCAGGGTGTCTGCTGGCGAATCTTCACTTTTCCTCTGATTTTGAGGAATCGTGATCCACTTCCATCCTCAGCCAGGCAGGATTACAGGCACGTGTGCCAGCGTATATGAGATCTCAGGACACAGACCCGGAACCCCCGTGTGTGGCTTCGACATTGAGGACCTCTGCCTGACAACATCACCACTGCAACCAGCCAGAACTCAGTGTAGTGAACTACCCACCCAAACCTTCTAGGTTATGGGTAAAACACAGTGAAGTCCTCGGATGATTCCAACAGGTTTGCTCCTGTGTCGGTGCTCAGCAGATGCCCAGAAGTCAGGGAGCCCTGGGAGGATTCTTCTCTGTGAGGGACGATGTGTGTCCACCTTGTCCAGCCCCTGAGCATCTGTCCAGCAGCAAGCCCAGCCTCATCCAGCATGAAAACACCACCGTAGTTTTCCACAGTGCCCGCAAGGGGGCAGTGTTGCTCCTGTTGAGGAAGTTCCCGCTGATGACTAGAACATGGGGATTGGAAAATGGAAGCCGACAGGAGAGTTATGAGTCTGTGATGGCACACTTCCTAGTGAGAAAGGGATGCGACAGCCCAGCTGGAGGGCAGCAGCAGTGCGTGAGCCCCTCCCGGGATTTAGAACTGGAAGAAGAGGTCCAGCCAGCTGTGAGGTCCCTGCATGGGCCTCCTCTGAGCTAAGTCACATGCCACCTGCTTATCTGGGAGTGCCACTTCTGCCCCCAGGTTGGCCCTCGTTGGAAGGGCAGAGCACCTCATGACTGTACAGACCAACAGGGTCACGATGTAGAGTGGACAGGGCCTGAGCCTGCCTGGAGAGAAGCTTCCAGAAGGAAGTGAAGGCAAGACAGGTGTTGTGGGCTGCATGGAGGTCGGACAGCGTCCTACAACACGCAGTGAGATCGTGTTTGCCAGCAAGTGGTCCCCATGTCCGCGTCTCTCCACGACTGCAGAGCCGGGCTGAGTCTAGCTCTTCTCGTCTTCATCAGTGCCTCTTAGCACAAGGGAGGCCCCCGTCAATGTTTGTGGGTAAATGAACACGTGAGCAGGTTACCCTGAACGAGGGAGACTTCTGCTTCCCACGTGGGACTGAGGATGAAGAAAGTGAAAATGGTTGTGTTCTCGGCCTTCGCACGCACCTGGCCTTGTTCCCTGTGACACCCCTTGTTCCCCCCGTGTCCGAGTACAGCCATACAGGACCCAGACCCTCCACACAGGGAGGAGCAGGCGTCCCCAGCTGGTCACTCAGGGCTGACCCTCTCTCTGGTTTCACTGATGGCTTCACTGCTGCTCCCCACGTTGTTAGGCCTCGAAGCACAATGGCAGTAGACCACCACCAGGGAGGGAACCCCGGGCCCGTACAGCCAGCTCAGGGCCTCTGTCTCGACACTAACAAGTCCTTGCCCGTCTCTGTTCAGGACACGCACCGAGGGCTCTTCATCCAGCAGCTACGCCCCACGCAGAACCTCCAGCCCCGAATCAAGCTCAAGCTGTTTGGCCACTCGGGGTCCGGGAAAACCACCCTCGTGGAATCTCTCAAGTGTGGGCTGCTCAGGAGCTTCTTCAGACGGCGCCGGCCCCGACTCTCCTCCACCAACTCCACCCGCTTCCCGCCTTCGCCCCTGGCCTCTAAGCCTGCAGGTAGGAGCCTCCAGCTGGGGGGGTCTCTCCAGCAGGTGCGGCCTCTGCACTCTGCACGACCTCCCTGGGCCGCATGCTGCCTGACACCCACGAGGGCACGTGAGCAACTTGGGGGTAGGGGGAGAACAGAGGTAGGGGGGACAGGAGACGGGGCCGGGGGAGGGGTTCCAGGTTGCGAGCTGAGCCAAGAGCAGGCCGAGGGCAGCCCCGGCCAGCCGGGTCTCACTTCCTTCTGGCCTGCAGTCTCCGTGAGCATCAACAACCTGTACCCGGGCTGCGAGAACGTGAGCGTGCGGAGCCGCAGCATGATGTTCGAGCCCGGCCTCACCAAAGGCATGCTGGAGGTGTTCGTGGCCCCAGCCCACCACCCGCACTGCTCGGCGGATGACCAGGCCACCAAAGCCATCGACATCCAGAACGCCTATTTGAACGGTACTTCCTGCCCGCCCCAAAAGTTGCCCTTGGCAGGGCTGCACATCAGGTGGTGCCTGTCACTGCGGGAGATGATCCAGTCCAGACTGATCCTGGGAGTGGCCCAGGACTGAGGTGGGGCTGCCCCACACCCGGGGACAGTAACAGTGAGCAGTAGAGTACCCCAGCTCCTGAGCACCTGCACACTGCCGTGTTTCATTAATGACCGTGCAGGCATTTACAACTTTCTGAGGGACTGGCTGGTTACATCGTAGGACTCTCACGTAGTCGCCCGCGGTTCAGGTTCCCCACTGGCAGCTTAAAACTCACGCAGGCAGTTGGCATAATGGCTGTCACGCTGGACTCCCATGTGGTTCGAGTAGGTGGCTTACAGTCACGCCGTGTGCATGTGTGCCCAAGATCCCAGGAGGAGAATGGAGGAGAAGGGATTGCATCATGACTGTCCCCCCCAACCCACCCCCAGGTGATTTCTCGCTTTCTGTCTCTGTCTCTCTGGCCAGCACATGCCCTGTAACAAAAATCTTTTAAAAAAAGAAAAAAAAAACTTTTTGAGGGTGGAACTACACATACCCTGGCATAGAAAAGTCCCCCAAATCACAAACCTGAGTCTGGGCCCATAGCAGTAAGCACCAGGCATTGGGAGCTGGCTCCCACATGGCCAAATTCAACTCAAATCCTGGCCCCAGAGGCTTGAAAAAGACCCCAGACACAGATTCCTGTGCACCTAAAATCCTGACAGGATGGGGAAATGGAGGAGAAAGGATTGTGGCACAGCAGTGCTCCACTGGGGGTCTCTCCCTCTCATGCACACATCCTCTGGCAGTAAAAAAAAAAAAAAAAAAAAAAAAAAAAAAAAAAAAAAATTGAGAGATTTTTTTGCTATGTGGCACGTGCACTTGCTACAGAGACAGAGAATCAGAAAGCAAGATTCCACTCCTAGGGGTTAACCATTCTCCTCTCGGGATTTTGGGCACCCATGCACAGACACCCAACATGAGTTTCAAGCCACTGGGTCCAGGACTCAAACCACAGTCGACTACGTGGGAGTCCAATACATTAACCACTACACCACCACTAGCCCCAAAATAATTTTCTTTTTCTTTTTCTTTTTTCTTTCTTTTTGTTTTTTTTAGAGGTTTTTGCTATAGGGCGCATGTGCTTGCCAAAAAGACAGAGAGAGACAGAGAGACAGAAAGCAAGAAATCACCCCCCAGGGGGGATGGTCACGCCACAATCCCTTCTCCTCCATTCTCCTCTCGGGATCTTGGGCATGCATGCACACGCGCCCGGCGTGAGTTTTAAGCCACCAGGTCCAGGACGCGAACCACAGTCGACTACATGGGAGTTCAGCGACATAGCCATTACGCTAACTGCTGGTCCCAATTTTTTTTTTTTTAAAAAAAGGAAAACCCCATAATCCCACTGGTACTGTGGGTTTCGTACCCGGGTATGAGGTGGATTATTTGCAAACCCATCCTGTCAGCGATTCTGCCGCGATACAGACATAGACGAGTGTTTCCACGGTCAGGGTTTAAGTCTGTTCTTTGCTCTCAATATTTCCAAGGGGCTGACATTTAAAGATTACCGGGGAAGGTGTACTTCATCCAGCAAACCACTGGCTTTTCCATGCAGGACCCCAGCTGGTCCCAAGTCACGTGCCCAGGAGTCCACTGGGTGTCGAAAGGCAGTTCAGAGCAGTGGATCAGAGCCTGGGATGTTACATAAGACGCTGTTCGTGCTCTATGTCACCTGACGTGACAGACCTGTGTTCTTTCCCCAGGCGGTTCACTCATTTCTTAATACAGCAGCATCCAAGGGGAAAAATCAAGGTACAGGTGTGCACACGCATTGCCACTGCACAGCTAGGTGTGCGCACATATGCACATGGGCACGTGTGTGTTTGCACGTACCACTCTTGCATACTGTTACTGAACTCTGTCCACGCCAGCTCTGGTCACCTACCACACAGAAAATTCAACCTTCCGTAATAGCAAAAGTTCCCTAGAAGGAACTTGTTCAGGTGACATCAGCTAAGAGATAGGTCTCAAACCTGCCTCCCTGGGTAAACAGGGCCTGGGGTTTTTTTTTGTTTTTTTTGTTTTTTGGGTTTTTTTGAGAGGTATTTGCTATAGGGCGCGTGCGCTCCCCGGAAAGACAGAGAGAGACAGAGAAACAGAAAGCGAGAAATTACCCCCCAGGGGGGATGGTCACGCCGCAATCCCTTCTCCTCCATTCTCCTCTCGGGATCTTGGGCACACACGCACACGCGCCCAGCGTGAGTTTAAGCCACCGGGTCTGGGACTCGAACCGCGGTCGACTATGTGGGAGTCCAGCAACATAGCCATTACGCTAACTGCTGGTCCCAGGGCCTGGGGTTTTTAAGGAGAAAGGATGTCGCTGCAGAGGGCAGCAAGGAGGCGGTCAGGGAAGGCAGGTGAGTTGCGTGAAGACCTCCAGCGTTACCCTTGCTGGAGTATGTCAGATATGCTATTGATGACATCGGGGACTCTTTCAGCATCTGGTTTGTTTCTGTTCTTTACTTTTTCTGGGAGAAAGACTCAAAACATACATTCTACTAGGACATCTGGCCTGCATGGGGTAGGGAGAATATTTCATCGTGACCTGTAGAAAACGTTTAACCGAAGTGCTCAGTGTTTAAAGCATGCCGTGGAGTGGGCTGGCGTGACTAAGTGACTAACACACGTGTGACCATGCAGGGAGAGGTAGGCTGGGTTAGCCCTCTGTGGTGGCGGGGTTAACTCGCAGGAGGCAGCATGGAGGTTTAGTGGCTGGATCCCACATGGCTGACTATATGGTTCGAGTCCATGACCCAGTGGCTTGAGACACACGCTGGGCACATGTGCGTGTATACCCAAAATCCCAAGAGGAGGGTGGAAGAGGAGGGATTGCAGCATAGCCTTTCCCCTGGGGAGATGATTTCTCTCTGTCTCTCTCTAACTCTCTGTCTCTCTCTGGTGTGCACATGTGCCCTATAGCAAAAAGAGAAAAAAAAGGTGGGGCTAGCTCTCTGACTAAATGCAAGCTTGTTCAAACAGTTAACCATCTAGGACCAGTACCAGTATTAGAAGTAGATATGGGATAGTCGTAGATTCAGATATAGTAATGGAAGCATTTAGGAGGAGCGATAGATACGACTAGAGAATGAGACCAGGATACACGTTATATGTGGCACAGAGCTGAGTATTCCTCTGTAGATCTGTACAGAGGCAGATGAATGCAGGCGTCCACAGGGAGATGAAGGCCTGGATGTCCCTGTTCCCACCTGGAATCTTAGCACACTAAGAAAAACCATGGGTGAAATGTGATGGTGGTGTTTCTTGATTATAATATGGGTGTTTTGTTTTGGTTTGGTTTGGTTTGTTCTTTTTTGCAGGAGTTGGCGACTTCAGTGTGTGGGAATTCTCTGGAAATCCCGTGTACTTCTGCTGTTACGACTACTTTGCTGCAAATGATCCCACATCCATTCATGTCATCGTTTTTAGTCTGGAAGAACCCTACGAGATCCAGCTGAACCAAGTGATTTTCTGGCTCAGTTTCTTAAAGTCTCTCGTCCCAGTTGAAGAACCCATAGGTAAGCTGACCTCTCCTTGGCAAATGTGTTCCTTCCTGCGGCTGGGGGGATAAGGTCTCCACCCTCCTGGTTCCTGCCCTGTCCCTTGCTGCTGCCCGCCTTGCATCCAGCCGCCCTCGGATCCTACGGCTCTGTCTACCTTCATGCTCTTCCTGCTTGACCTCCACTCTAGGAAGCTGCCTGGGCTCTGCCACTCACTGTGTTCTACAGGGAGTTTCCGTCTCATGGTACCCAGAGCCCCAATTCCTTGAGCTCCATTTCTCGCCTTCCTTCTGCCCTTTAGAGCCATGGTCGTTTCTGTTGGGTGCAGAGTGGAATCCCTCCTTTGCATCTGCTAACGGGTCTATCATAATCAGCAGAATGAGTTCTCCTACATCCTGTAGTTCCCTTAAGAATTAGAGAAGAGGGACCAACAGATGGCATGGTGGTTAAGGTGCTGGACTCCCACATGGCCAACCATGGTTCGAGTCCCAGACCTGGTGGCTTGCTTTCTCACTCCCCGCCCCCATGTATCTCTCTGGTCAAATTAAAATGAACAAATAAATAAATAAATACTTTTTTTTTTTTTTAGAAAAGAGGATTAGAGGCGAGGGACTGTGTGGGCTGGATGTGTTACCTTAACTTCATCCCTAGAGGAGAGGATAACGTGGAATAAGCTTCTTTTGTCTTTTGTGTACAAGAAGAGAAGCAGCCCTCCCTGTGGAGATGCAGTGCTCAGTAGTAAATTTTGTTTTCCCCAGAAAAGCATACAATTACGAACTGTGCTGGGTTTAATCCCGCCTAGGTCACTGCCAGCTTTGCCTCTTTCTCCTTCTTTGTCATCTTTTCTTTTGGAACCCTGCCATAGGCCCAGGCTCTGCCTGTGTGAGCTGCAGGCCGTTCTCCCTGCATCGTCTCTGTGCAGGGGCCACATTCGAGGGCTTTCCTTGGTCCAGCAAAGGACATCCCCCTGTCAGAGGTCAGATCTTCCCTCTCTAGGCAGGCCTTATTTGGAGGAACACCTAAGAAGCTGCCTTTTGTTCTGCAGTTGTTTCTGGTTCATTCTTGAGTTACTTTTCCTATGGCCCAGGAAACAGGCTCATTCAGTTGCTGGCCGGGGGTGGGGATGGGGGTCCTTCCACAGGTCACACTGCACAGTGCACATGGGGCCCTCAATCCGTGGGCAAGTTGCACACCCCCCTGGAAAGACAGCAACACACCCCTCACCTGGAGAGGACAGCCAGCCCGGTAGGAGGACCCACCTTCTGAAAGGTTCTCTCTCTGCCCTCAGCTTTTGGCGGCAAGCTGAAGAACCCGCTCCGAGTTGTCCTGGTGGCCACTCACGCCGACATCATGAATGTTCCTCGTCCAGCTGGGGGCGAGTTTGGATATGACAAAGACACGTCGTTGCTGAAAGAGATCAGGAACAGGTGAGGGGCAAGTCCTGTGTCTCCAGCCCAGGGGCAGCCTCCCACCCAGGGACATGAATCAGAGTGAGAAATGCAACCGACGTCAGGTGGAGCTGAGAAGGGAAGGAGAGATGTTCCTTGCCTGACTTCTTGGTTGTCTTTTCCATGTGTGACCAGGCAGAATCCATCAAGGGGTGGGGATGGAGAGACCTTTGCAAGGTCACTAGGACTTCGCTTGCCTCTTACTGCCCTCTTAGACCAGGAGGAACCCAGCCTCTCCCTGGAGAGCCCTGGTGCGATGGACTCCTTGCTGATGGGGCTGCTGCTCTTCCCGCAGGTTTGGGAACGATCTTCACATTTCCAATAAGCTCTTTGTGCTGGATGCCGGGGCTTCTGGGTCTAAGGACATAAAGGTACTTCGAAATCATCTGCAGGAGATACGGAGCCAGATCGTTTCGGTAAGTATACCCTGGAGGGGGCCTGGACCAGCCTCAGCAGCCGCGGCCAGTGAGCCAGGGAACTGAGCCTCCGTGTCCAGTGTGGGACTCGGTACGAGGCAGCTGCCTGGTCGTGTCTCATCCTGTTTCTCTGGGGTGAGAGAAGAAGAGTAGAGAGACAGGAGATGGTGGGAGATGAGGGTGATTCTGGGCCAAGGTGGAGAACTTCAGATTGTACCCAATTCTTGGTTTTGTGTGTGTGTTTATTTGGTTGGTTTTTTAAGATTTTTGCCATAGGGCAAGTGTACTTGCTGGAGAGAAACAGAGAGAGGGAAAGTGAGAAATCATCCCCCAGGGAACCATGCTGCAGTCCCTTCTCGTTCATTCTCCTCTCAGGATTTTAGGCACTCACACACACGCTCCCAGCGTGATTTTTCAAGCCACTGGGTCTGGAACTCGAACCACGGTTGGCCTTTGTGGGAATCCAGTGCCTGAACCACCATGCCACCTGCTGGCCCCTCTTACAGTTTTAATGTTTTGTTTAAAAATAAAATTTCAGGGCCAGCAGGTGATGTGGTAGTTAAGAGCATTGGGCTCTCACATGGCCAACTACAGTTCGAGTCCCATACCTGACAACTTGCTTTCTCACTTTCTTTCTCTCTCTCTCTCTCTCTCTCTCTCTCTCTCTCTCACACACACACACACACAGACACACACACACACACACACTGTCCCTCTCTGGTCAAATTAAGATAAATAAATACATACATAAAATAAAAATAAAATTTCAGGCCGGCCCTGTGGCCTAGTGGTCGAGGGAGCTGGATCCCACAGGACCAGCTGAGCAGTTCCAATCTCAGCATGAAAAACACACTGAGCACGTGCTGCAGGTGTGCCCGACATCCCGAAAGGAGGTAGGAGTGGAGGGGAAGGGGTTGCAGGAGGACCACACCCCACTGGGAGCTCGTCCCTGACCCTCTGCCATCTCTCTGGCTAGTGCACACGGTCTCTGACAAAATAAAGGGATAGATTGATAAAATTTCTTTTTACAAATTCCAAAAACAATTCAAAAGTTACTTCTTGTGGAATATTTAGAGAATTCAGAACGAACAAAATGTATTAAATGACATTCAATGGGACTTTTTTTAAAGAATTTTTTATTCCATTTTATTTATTCATTTATTTTATTTTGACCAGAGAGAGACAGAGAGACAAAGAAAGAGAGAGAAAGTAAGAAAGCAAGCTACCAGGTCTGTAACTCGAACCATGGTAGGCCATGTGGGAGTGTCCAGAGCCTTAACCGCCATACCACCTTCTGGTCTCACCATGCCACCCTCTGGTCTCCCGTACACAGGGACTTCTAAAAGTTTATGGCAAATGGAATTATAGTACAAGTTTATTGTGGTGCAAATAAGATTAAGGTCCATGCATGGTTTTTTCATAATACACATTTCCACAAATTTTTGAAGACCTCTTATAAAATAATAGAAAACAAATAGGATAAGACTTAACTTCATGGACAGCAAGGTATGACTGTTTAATTTTTCCCAAGTTACGTGAACATAATACATTACCGTGAGCATCTGAATGGGATTGAGGAGACTGGGATTTATGTCTTAAAATTTCAGTGGAAGTGGACCAGCACGTGGTATAGTGGCTAAGGTGCTGGACTCTCACTGACTGACCGCGGTTCAGTACTCAACTACTGCACTATGAGGCTAGCCCCAGTGTGTTTCCTGTAGCTGCTGGATGGAACATTTCATAAATACCTTTTAGGTTCGTTGAGTCCATGGTGTAGTTAAAGTCCAATGTTTCTTTGTCAATTTTTTGTTTAGATGATCTATCCATTTGCTGAGTGTGAAGTGTTGACATCTTTAACTGTTATTGTATTGTATCTCTCTTTTGCTGGTGTGATATTTGCTCTGGCTTTAGGTGTTTCTGTGTTGGGTGCATCTATAGCTGTAAACATTCTGTCTCCTTGCTGGATTGCTACCTTTGTCATTATGTAAAGACCTACTCTTTTTTTTTTTTTTTTTTTTTTGAGAGAGAGGTTTTTGCTACAGGGTGCATGTGCTCGCCAGACAGAGAGAGACAGAAAGCAAGAAATCACCCCCCAGAGGGGATGGTCACGCCGCAATCCCTTCTCCATTCTCCTCTCAGGATCTTGGGCACGCACACACACGCGCCCGGCGTGAGTTTTAAGCCACCGGGTCCGGGACGCGAACTGTAGTCGACTACGTGGGAATCCAGCGACATAGCCATTACGCTAACTGCTGGTCCCCCAAAGACCTACTCTTTGTCATTATATAAAGACCTACTCTGTCTCTTTCTATAGTTTTTAAATTAAGATCTATTTTATCTGATACCAGTGTAGCTACTCCTTCATGACTTTCGTTTGCATGGGACATCTTTTTCCCCCCTTCACTTTCAATCTATGTGTGTCTTTACAGGTGAAGTAAGATTCTCATAGACAGTGTATTGTTGAGTCTTTTTTTTTTTTTGGAGAGGTTTTTGCTACAGGGTGCATGTGCTCGCCAGACAGAGAGAGACAGAGAGACAGAAAGTGAGAAATCACCTCCCAGGGGGGATGGCCACGCCGCAGTCACTTCTCTTCCATCCTCCTCTTTGAAGCCAATGTGGCCAACATAAAGAGACCCTATCTTTTAAAGTAAGTACATACCCACACACATACATACCCACCCTAGGAGCTCATCAGAAAAGCGTTGACTTGTTCATGGGACGACACGCACTGTGCACACATGCATGGCATCAGCTCTACTTGGGCACGCACACACACGAGCCCGGCGGGAGTTTAAGCCACCGGGTCCAGGACTTGAACCGCGGTCGACTTCATGGGAGTCCAGCGACATAGCCATCACACCAACTGCTGGTCCCGAGTCTTTTTCCTGTAATCCGTTCAGCAGTTTTGTTTACACTTAAGGTTATTATAGATAGGCTAGAACTTAATCCTGTCACTTTGTTAGGTATTTTCTGGTTCTGTGAATGCTTTGTTTCTTTTTTCCTTTTTTGTTGTCTGTGTGGCTTGGTGATTTTTCTCTATAAAACTTTGTATTTGGGTCTTGCAGGTGATGTGGCCAGCTGCAGTTCAAGTCTCGGACCTGGCAGCTTGCTTTCTCACTTGCCCTCTCACTCTGTCCCTCTCTGGTCAAATTAAAATATATAAACAAATAAATAAAGTTAAATGAACTAATTCTTTAAAAACAAAAAACTTTGTATTTGATAGATAGATTCTCCTTAAAGGTATCACACACACACACACACACTCACACACTCAAATTAGCCTTCCCCCATCTGTTCAGGAGGCTGAGGCAGGATTTTGAGGCCAGCATCCAGGACTTGAACCGCGGTCGACTTCATGGGAGTCCAGCGACATAGCCATCACACCAACTGCTGGTCCCGAGTCTTTTTCCTGTAATCCGTTCAGCAGTTTTGTTTACACTTAAGGTTATTATAGATAGGCTAGAACTTAATCCTGTCACTTTGTTAGGTATTTTCTGGTTCTGTGAATGCTTTGTTTCTTTTTTCCTTTTTTGTTGTCTGTGTGGCTTGGTGATTTTTCTCTATAAAACTTTGTATTTGGGTCTTGCAGGTGATGTGGCCAGCTGCAGTTCAAGTCTCGGACCTGGCAGCTTGCTTTCTCACTTGCCCTCTCACTCTGTCCCTCTCTGGTCAAATTAAAATATATAAACAAATAAATAAAGTTAAATGAACTAATTCTTTAAAAACAAAAAACTTTGTATTTGATAGATAGATTCTCCTTAAAGGTATCACACACACACACACACACTCACACACTCAAATTAGCCTTCCCCCATCTGTTCAGGAGGCTGAGGCAGGATTTTGAGGCCAGCATGGCCAACATAAAGAGACCCTATCTCTTAAATTAAGTACATACCCACCCTAGGAGCTCTTCAGAAAAGCGTTGCCTTGCTCATGGACGACACGCACTGTGCACACATGCGTGGCTTCCTCTCTGCTGGGCTCCTCTCCAAGCACCCATAGCTGCCTATGAGCTGACCTGTTCCTAACGCATGTTCTAGGGCTGCCCTCCAATGACTCACCTGTGTGAGAAAATCATCTCCACGCTGCCTTCCTGGAGAAAGCTCAATGGGCCCAACCAGCTGATGTCACTGCAGCAGTTCGTGTATGACGTGCAGGACCAGCTGAACCCCCTGGCCAGTGAGGAGGACCTCAGGCGCATCGCCCAGCAGCTGCACAGTGTGGGCGAGGTAAGAACTCTGCGGGAGCCAGGCAGCAGCCCGTGGGGTGCCCTGGACTCATCCCTCCCCAGATTTCCACCTTCGAAGGTGTGTGTCACGGGGGAGGCAGAGTGAAACCTGCCCACCTACCCCTAACGTTTGCAGACGCGTGACTTACACACACAGCCTCGAGTGACCTCTGCACTGTAGTTCTCTGCTCTCTCTCCCTCAACTTAGGACCTGTTGTTTTATTTGTTATTGCTGTGTCAAGAACAAGGTAGCAGCTCAGCACTACAGGAAGTGTCTACCTAAGGCTCGACTTTGAACATAATCCTACATAGCGAGCAGCTTACAGGTTTCAGCCAGACTATGGCCAGAAAAGTCCTGGTACGAACAGGTAGAGCCTGAGCCGCCACATGAGGAAGGTGTCCACCTGGGGTCACCATTAGAACTCGCCCAGGACAGGGTGGGAAGATGGGAAAGTAACCGGCCCAAGAAGGGAAAGTTACATCTGGTTTTTACTGCTCTTTTCTTAATTAAAAAAATAATAAAAAAATAATAAAAATAAAAAAACCACATCTGATAAAGCTAATGTCCCCTGTGGCCATCATCTCTGGTTTCATTCCTCACTCTGTCATTCTGCAGACGACTTTTGTCAGAGTAGCTTATTTTTAAGACCTTCTTTATGGATGCGTGCTAAAATGTACACAGTAGTAAAGTGATTCAGTGTTCTGAATCTTGTTTTGAAAAGGTTCAAGCCTTCAGAGAAGTTGCAAGCACAGTCCTTTTTTTTTTTTTTTTTAGAGGTTTTTTGCTATAGGACGCGTGCGCTCGCCAGACAGACAGAGAGAGACAGAAAGTGAGAAATCACCTCCCAGGGGGGATGGCCATGCCGCAATCCCTTCTCCATTCTCCTCTTGGGATCTTGGGCATGCATGCACCCACACCCGGCATGAGTTTTTTTAAGCCACCGGGTCTGGGACGCGAACCGCAGTCGACTATGTGGGAGTCCAGTGACATAGCCATTACGCTAACTGCTGGTTCCCGCAAACACAGTCCTAAAAGCCCTTGTACAGGCTACACAAAAACTGACCCCGTGTATAAACGTCTACATTTGCGTGATTCTGCTTTCTTCCATTTCTTATTTTATTTTGCAGCCATCATAGTATGTTACCCCTAAATAATCTAGCCTGTGTCCCCTGAGGTGAAGAACAGTCTCACACGTAACTGATGATCACATTCCAGAAACACCACCTTGTCGTGGTCCTGTAATCAAATATATGCCTCCTGTCCCAATCATTTCTTTTAAAACTGTTTTTTGTTTGTTTGTTTTTTCATGTATTTTTACTTTGGAATTCAAAATCCAATCAAAAATCACTCCTTATACAGGGTTGCCTCTCTCTTCTTCATACAGATAGATAGGTAGGTAGATACAGAGATAAAGGTACAGATACTGGGTCATCAGAAAATGCGTGGCATTATCTCTACTGGGCTCCTCTCCAAGCACCCACAGCTGCATCTGAGCAAACCTGTTCCTAACATTTTTGCATAGAAAAACATAGAAAAAAGCATTATGACTTTTCCAATGACCCTATGTGTGTGTGTGTGACTACAGCAATTTGTGTATGACATGCAGGGCACATACATGTATTTATTTGGGGGAAGAGGTCTTATGACATTGCCCGTCTTGAAGAAGCAATGGTAATTGTTTTTCAGAATCTGTCTTCTAGCATCCTCAAGCGGGTGTTTGGTTTCTGAGCTCCATTCCTGTGAGTGGCGCTGGGTCCTCCCCTAGATCATTTGCTCGGGTGCATCCTGGGACCAGACCCTCCTATGCAGAGTGTCTGCCTAGGAAGCAGCTCCCTCGGTGACTTTCTGTTGTCCCCTCTGACAGATCAACATCATGCAGAGCGAAACAGTCCAGGACGTCCTGCTCCTGGACCCCCGCTGGCTCTGCACCAACGTCCTGGGGAAGCTGCTGTCTGTGGAGACCCCGCGGGCCCTGCACCACTACCGGGGCCGCTACACCATGGAGGACATCCAGCGCCTGGTGCCTGACAGCGACGTGGAGGAGCTGCTGCAGATTCTAGACGCCATGGACATCTGTGCCCGGGATCTGAGCAGCGGGACCATGGTGGACGTCCCTGCCCTGATCAAGACGGACAACCTGCACCGCTCCTGGACTGATGAGGAAGACGAGGTGATGGTCTACGGCGGAGTGCGCATCGTCCCGGTGGAGCACCTCACTCCCTTTCCGTGTGGCATTTTCCACAAGGTCCAGGTGAACCTCTGCCGGTGGATTCACCAGCAGAGTGCTGAGGGGGACGCGGACATACGCCTGTGGGTGAATGGCTGTAAGGTCGCCAACCGTGGAGCCGAGCTGCTGGTGCTCCTGGTCAACCACGGCCAGGGCATCGAGGTGCAGGTCCGTGGCCTGGAGACGGAGAAGATCAAGTGCTGCCTCCTGCTGGACTCCGTGTGCAGCACCATTGAGAACGTCATGGCCACCACGCTGCCGGGGCTGTTGACGGTGAAGCATTACCTGAGCCCCCAGCAGCTGCGGGAGCACCACGAGCCTGTCATGATCTACCAGCCGCGGGACTTCTTCCGGGCGCAGACCCTGAAGGAAACCTCGTTGACTAACACCATGGGGGGGTACAAGGAAAGCTTCAGTAGCATCATGTGCTTCGGGTGTCACGACGTCTACTCGCAGGCCAGCCTCGGCATGGACATTCACGCATCAGATCTGAACCTCCTGACCCGGCGGAAACTGAGTCGCCTGCTGGACCCGCCCGACCCCATGGGGAAGGACTGGTGCCTTCTTGCCATGAACTTGGGCCTCCCTGACCTCGTGGCAAAGTACAACACCAGTAACGGGGCACCCAAGGATTTCCTCCCCAGCCCGGTCCACGCCTTGTTGCGGGAGTGGACCTCCTACCCCGAGAGCACCGTGGGCGTCCTCATGTCCAAGCTGAGGGAGCTGGGTCGCCGGGATGCAGCGGACTTTTTAATGAAGGCTTCCTCTGTGTTCAAGATCAATCTGGATGGCAATGGCCAGGAGGCCTACGCCTCCAGCTGCAACAGCGGCACATCTTACAATTCCATCAGCTCGGTGGTGTCTCGGTGAGGGCAGCCCCGGCCTGGGCTGGGTCCCTCTGGACTGCAGAAGCAAGGGGGATGCAGCCCGGTTTCCCGTTGGAGATCCTAAGAGGCATTCCTTCCCAAGGGACACTCTCCTCCCTCCTGCTTCGCCTGTCTCTCCGCCACTACCTCCCTCCCTCTCGCACAGTCCGTGGTCCGTAGATGGTCTTTGCAGCTCAGAGCAGACCAGATCCTTTCCTTTGGCCGTCCGATATGGCTAACGTACCTCCACTCAGTGTTCTGGACTCCATCTCTCGTCCTCCCATACCTTGCTTCTTCCTGATCATTTTACTGGAATTCCAAACTTTTCAATGACTTTTATTTTTTAACTACTATATCGATGGTCTTTTTTTTAAAAAAAAAAAAAAGAAAAAGAAAAGAAAACAAAAGCACACATTTGTCTAAAATGTGTATTTCTTAGACTCTTTGCTTTGTTATACCATCTCCTGAGCGTCTCTCTTTTATATCTGTAGGAGAAACTCCCATGTGTGGAATCCCACTGTGTGATTTATACACAGACAATATGTGAGTGCCTTTTGCAGAAGAGGGTGTGTTTGAAATCATCTGAGTCAGCCAGGAGCTGTCACCAAGGAAACGCTACCTCTCTGTCCCCTGCTGTGTGCTGATCATCACCAGAGGTGCTTCACCCTGAGTTGTTTTTGTTTCGTTTCGTTTCGTTTCTTTCCTGCAATTCCTGTTTTCATTTGGCGAGGAAAGGGGAGAAAGGAAGCCTCCTCCAGGGTGATTTCATGGCCAGTGTTGTTGCTGTAAGAGCACATTTTTCAGTTCGCTTTCGCTCAGAGTCAATGTGAACGTCCACTAGACACCTACGAGCTGTCATGCTGCATTGCTCCCGCTCATCTCAGGTAGAAGGTGACAGAGTTGCTGCGTTAGGGAGACCTGGGTAGGAATTCAGAAGACCCCCCGACTCATCATTTGTGACAGTTCGTCATCATTGGTGCATAGCAGATGGTTTCCACATTTAGATCCTGGTTTGGTAACTTCCTGTACTTGAAGTCTGAAAAGCCGAAAATAAAGGAAGCAAGTTTTCTTGCAGTGATTTTAAATTGTGATAGAGTTTTCACTTGATATGAGGGAACATGTCCTAATTCTTCTGTCCTGAGAAGCATGTAACGTTAATGTTCTATCATGTGTGTGTGTGTGTGTGTGTGTGTGTGTGTACCCATATATATATACACATATATATATATGCACTATGTATATACATATATATTAATACTGGTATTTTTACTTAATCTATAAGGTGTCATTAAAAGTTAAGTTTTTTTCTTTTTCTTTTTTTAATAAATAAATTGTTGCTTGTTGCCTTAGTTGCCTTAGTTTTTCGGTCTTTAATTCAAAAAAAAATTTTTTTTTTCTCTGTTACATTTTCACCCCCATCAACCCCTAGAGAGTAGGAAAAACCAACCTCAAATCCAGAAAGTCATTCAACCTAAACCCCCAGGAAGTCATCCAACCTGCATCCCCAGGGAGTGGGAAACAGCCTACTTTATTTAGAAGCTCAAGAGTTAGAAAAACTGGCCATGGCACGGGGAAGAAAAAAGAGCTCAGGCAACTTCACGTTTCCTCTC